GAAAAAATTTTTGCAACTGCGTTAGACCGGAAGAGGTACATAAACAGAGACGACGTACATTAACTCGGAGATTGGGTGGTATGCTCGATGGAAAAAGGAGAGGAGACGCGATGGAGGAGGGTGGTTTCCTCTCTGTCGGAGAGAAGAAGCTGATCAAAGCGGCATCAGCCGCATATTTGGTTTCGTCAAGTTTCCATCGGCCTACGCCCGCGTTGGCCCCTTTGAAAAATGGAAATTGCGTGTGCCCGGACGCAAACGAACGCCGTGGAAACACGGCCTTGGGCTGTGCCTCCCTCTCTCTTTCTCCCCCTTCGAAACAAGAAGTCGCGTAACACAGCCTGATTGATCGTGGAGAAAACTTCGCGCCTGTTTGCTCCGCCATATTTACGATGGACGTTAACGAGAAGGAGGAGGATTTTAGGTGGATTAATTTTCCTACGATCTTCTTAAAATCACTCTCTCCTTAATTTCTAGGGGATGTTTATTCGTTTCGAATTTAGAAATTTTGAAGTTCGAGGCACAAATTTGTGACAGACAGACATCTCAAGTTGGATGCTGTTAAAATTATCGTAATGGTGCACAATTTGGTGGAAATAAAGCAGAAACTACAACTATTTGAATCTAGGAAGCAACGAAACGAGGACACGAAGACACGATAAAACGTCAATTAGCATGCTCGACTCCCTCCCCCCGATTCATCATTCGTCGATCTCGTTGGAATATCAACAGAGGCGAAGGAATGCTCGCCGAGGCGGATTAATCCTCGCGCGGGAGGCGACGAGTTAATTAACGCCGGTTATAAATACGAAAGGCAATCTGCATTATGGTAATCGGTCGGCCAGAGTTTCCTCGAACGGCTCGCCTCCCTCCGGATGCCTGATCGCGATAATTTACACGGGATATTGGCGTGATCTAATTTTGGCCGCTGGCGGACGGCCGTGTCACGTTCGATTACAAGCTTCCGAGCTTATGACTTATGAACGAGCGTCCAGTTAACCATCTCTCTCTCTATTCTAGTTCCTCCATTCTAGTCCTTGGGAAAAAAAGCTTCCCCTTTCGAGGAGACACATTTCTTTTCTCCCCCCTTTTTCCGATCGATTTGTAGAATATGATACGTACGTAGATTGTGAGAAGTTTGTTTGAACAAGTTTTCACAGCGTTACATTATGCGCAATTTAATCTAGAAAGTAGAGTGTTTGTAATACGAATGATGGAATAGTTTGTAATTGCACAAGAGACTTAGAAAAATATTGGAATCGGATAATCTTCTTCTTTGTTATCTTTTAATTTCTCGAACTTTACGCGCCCTGTAAATTAATATCCTCCAAATATTACGAAAGTTCTTCAGGGTTGCCAAAATTTCCTTATTAATTTAACTTTTTATATTTCGAACGAGAATAAACGAGAAAAAAGTATTTTTTCTTTTGAACTTGAATCGGATGAATCGGTCTTTCTGCAAGAATGGACATTCGTTTCTCAAAATATTTCTTTCGAGAATGCTTCGCATTCCAAAATGTGAAAATCAGAAATTATACTGTTATAATTTGCAATATATTTAAATTTAAAAAATAAGAATTTTTTCTTATCATATTATTCATACTTGGGATATCAGAATAAGACTTGAAAAGATAAATAACAATCGAGAGAAAGGTAAGTTAAAACGATACATCTGTCCATTGTGAACGAGGAGATTTGAAAGAGTTGGAACTGCAGGCGAAGATCGGGCAAAAGTGTAGAATATTTGCAAGCAATCTAAAAATGGAAAGAGAGGTTACTTCGATCAGAAAGGTTTCGCTCGAGGATTGACTTTAAGGTGGCACGCGGGAAACAGGACGTCTCCGTGAACGTCGAAACAGGAAATATCGCCTGATTTATAAGCCCTGGGAGTAACCAACGACTACCTGGAACGTTCGTCATTCTGTCGATGGGACGGTTTCCCCGAGGCGTTAGTGTTGCATACGCAATATCGTTAAAAATCGTCGAACCATTTATTCGATTCTGAAAAAGAACATTCTCTTTTCGAGTCGACAAGCTTGGAAGATTGGGGAATACTTTTCAATTACTTTTAAGGAATAAGTTTGACAAATTTTGGAAAATGATTATTTAAAAGTTAGAAATAATCGAATAATTGTATCGCTTTTATGAATTGTGACTTTCCAACTTTAAATAAAATAGAAGAAAAAAGAATTAATATAGAAATGCAGGAATAGAATTAATTTTTTCAATGAATTATAAAAAATTATACTCACTTCTATTTTAAAAGCTTAAGAAATCGAAGATGACGATTAAGAAATTCGAATATTTTTTAGTGATGTCTAAAATTAATATTCTTAATTCGTCTTAGCATAGATTGTTAAAGGATATTCCGAATCCTAAGACTAAATATCACTAGCTTATGATGTCATATTTCAGAATCTTCGTAAGTTTCCTAATCCTCTAAGTTTCGCATAAGAGGATGGATCTCCAATGAGGTATTGCCTGTTCCTAACTTGAAAGCGGGGACGGCTAAGTACTCGTTCAAAGTAGAATTACTTAGAAATCGATCTTATCTTCGAATTTTCCCGCGTCCAGTCTACGAACTTTCGAAATTCGCGTTTCTCAAAGTGAGAAGCTAGTTCGATCTTCTAGAGTGCTCGAAACTTCTGAGTATCTTATCACACAGGCCAGTCTTACTTTCCAAAATAAAGAAAAAAATTATATTTGATTTTGTTCTAATTTATTTTTATTCTACAATTAAATTATTTAATTATAAATAATTTTTTTATTTATTAGTCGAATGTTTTGAATTGAATTTATTTGTCGAAGATTATTTTGTATTCGAGAAACAATATATAATCGAAAATTTTATGGAATTTATTATTAAATTGTTCGAAAGATATACAATTATTTTTATTATTATATATTATTCAGAATCTGTATATTAATTAATTATCGTATCCAATTTCATCGTATCAATTAACGTAAAAAATTAAAAAAAAAAAAGAATGGCGTATCAATTTCTACGATCTCCCCTATAAATCTTAAAATAACGAAATAAATATATCCACTTTTCATTTAACCTATGACCTATGAGAAATCCGCGTAAATCGAAAATTCCCAGATAAATAACGACTTACGGGATCCTAGGGTGGAAATCTTAGCTCCTCGATCGAGCAACATATTCTTTTGTCAAATATAATTTATCATACATTCGACTGCACCTGCGACGAGAAAGAACAGAGACGTAGGGAATGTCGTTGAAATAAGAGATCGTTGTTTATGGTTCCAAGCAACAGACAGGCTTCGAGGTATTCCTGCGCGCGAGTTTTACAACCACTATAGTTCCCTGACACTAAATTATCGTTGGAGCAAGTATACAGGGTGTCCTTGTAGGAAAACGTGCTCTATCACGCGTCGATAAATCTTTCGGTTCGCGCGATCTGGAATCGAATGAGTCATCGAGTGTCTGAAATTTTCGATTGTTCAAAGTGATAATCTCGTTACACTTTTATCCTTAAATCGATCTTAAGTAGATATCGTAAATATTTGTTAAGAATATTCTTTTGCGATCCTTTTGTAAATTTTTCCTCGTCTTGTTATTACGACAGGATTCGTGGTCGTAAAAGAGGTCGGCCTTAAAAAAAAGAGAACATGAGTAAAAATGAATATTCTTTTTGCATTGTGTATTTATAAAACAATTATGATCGCTTCGTTCGTGACACTGAAGAAATAGAGGGATCGTTTTATTACAGTCGTGCTTCTTTTATAACTCTCTACTCAAAATACCACAAATTTAAATATTTTTCGTTCCCGAGCCAAGATTCTATTTAAAATTTGTATCTATTTATAAACGTTCCTTTTGAATTTAATATTCAAAGAAATATTCCAGGACTTACATCTTACATAATTGAATTATTATGATTAGTGAAACGTTACCATAAATTCCATTATCGATTAATAAATTTAAAAAAAAATAATAAAATTTTTCATAAAGTCATTCAACACAAAATTATAAATTTATAATTTTGCCAATTCATTTCGATATCGTTGTTCGATATCGAAATTGTTCTGCAAGAATATTTATCAAAAAAAAAATTTTTATAATCGCCAAGTTCGAACAACTGTATTTGTCAATTCGATTCACATTAATTCAACGATACATTCGAAAAGATACGAAATTTAAAATTCTTCGTGATCGTCACGAAGGTTTATTATACACTTTTGTTGTCTTCGTTTTTTTCCCAAACGCAGTGTTCGCATCTTGAATTCTTCACGTTTCGCATGTTATAAAAATATATGATAGTCGCTAAATTGGCCCTATTCAAATGACTCACTCCATATTCCCACGCATGGAGTTCCATAGAACGGTCGATGACGTCGTTCCCAAGCATGACCATGTCAAAATACCCATTTGCCCGCTTTTGAATAATTACCATCCCCGGTATTTTTAACCTGGAGAAGTTGGAGGAGTAGTTCCCGGAAAACGTTTGTAAAATGTCGAGACGACAAGCTTTCATTGAATCTTTAATCTTTACTGTGGAATCGTGTGCAATCTGTGTGCTCGTTCCTTTTTTGTTCAGAGATACGTACGTACGGAAAAAGGAAAAAGAAAAGGGGAAAAAAAAAAAAAAAAAAAAGAAGGGAAACGTAGCGTGTAGAGCAGAGAGCTAACTTTATTATCGACTTTATGTATAAGCGTGGGATTTGTCAGTTCGCTTGGGGCGAATTGCAACTTTTTAATATTTGTTGCACGGATATACAACAATGGGGTAATGCAATTCTGCATTCGATTGGAAGAAAGAATTTAACGTGAAGAATATTTAAACAGGATCGTGGAAAATTGATTCGATTTCGAGGAGAGAAAATATTATTTATTTAAATTGACCGAGCGGACGAAGAATTCAAGAAAATTCAACAAATGGAAGGAAAATTTTAAATCAATTAAAATAATAACTAATCGGGAATCGATAAGAAGGAAGAATTAAAATTAATGAAATATCCAAAGGGTAACAACCAGAGATCTAAGAGACGCAGAGACAAGCTTCAAAAATAATCAAAAGGAAAAGAATCCAAAAAGAAAATCCAACAGAAATAGAATAGAACTGAAAAACTGAAGAAATAACCAAAGAATACAACAACAACGAAATACTCGATACGTTAAAAACTCTAAAACAATTACCTGGAAAACCGTCGGAACCATGTGTTGAAACCATTCAATTACGCCTGTTCAAAGCGAGCTAACGCAATTCCAAAGAAAACAATGTAACGTCCAAGTTACTCCAAACCAAACTACCCCAGCTAGCCGGCTTCCCTCTTTCACGGAACTCCACTTTCGAAACAGAATTACCCAATTTCCTCAGACCGTGACACATCTACACACACACACACACACGTGGAACGAAGAGATACAGAATATATCTCGTAGAAGCCACACAATACGCAGTCCACGACCACGGCCACGAATCGCCATCCTACGTTCGAAAATCCTGCGACAGGCAAAATAATTTAGTCCCAGCCGGAATTCGATGGTTTCTCGCCTCCACGATAGATTCCTCCTCCCTCTCCAACTTCCCCCTCGCGAAACACAATTCGAAATTTCGGTTGGAAAATAATAATAATTATTATTATTATCACGATACGTGAACAATGAGGACGACAATGATAACGATAATGGAGAGTTCACCGAGAGTGAACTTTGGCGGGAAACTTTAAACGCGCGAGGAAGGGATATAATAGGGGAGTCGCAATTTATGGCGGTGTTAAACCTACGAATAACGATAACGAAACGTTGCTGCGAGAGTGGCGAAAACTTGTCAAAAGGCAAGGGATTATCGTTGACCCGTTTAATGTTTAATGTTTGTTAGTTTGTCTAACGTAACAGGGGGAGGGAGAGTATGGTATGCTGGCTCTGCGTTCGAGGTGTGTGTGTTTCGGCTATTTTTAGAATTTTAGGAAAATGTAGAAGAGAGAGAGAGAGAGAGAGAGAGGAAGTAA